TTAGCTATGGATTTGTACATTTAATGGCTCTTTTCAGTAAATGTTCCTCTGAATCGATCCGCAGATTCATGCATAAATATGAGACTGAGATGTTAAACGCTGTTTATGGTATAAGTATCCTGTTGATAATCCAGGGCATGCAAATTCCTATTCAGTAGGGTATTTACATTTTGTATTATGTAAAGTTTAAATATTTATGGTAGGAAGTTTCTTATGGAAACGTTTCCTCGCTATTGATGGCAAAATGTACAATAGGCTTCAGACTGCATCATCCTCGTTGTTTTGAAGCATGAATACCCGCCTTTTCTAAATACATTCTACCTTTATCATGCTCATATAGCAGATGAATATTTGCAATCTCTGAATGCCCTGAAACCCAAAAACAAAATTTATTGATCAATAAACTCGAATACTTGTAGAGTCATTAGATATTTTTCGGAACAGGAAACATGAACAATTAGTGATGTCCTATCTAGGATTCGAACTACAGACCTCCCGACTGCCAGCTAAACGTACTTCCAGTTACGCCATTGTGGTACGCGGGAAGAAGGAAATGAATTACGCAGTAGTCTTTGCTATATAATGAATTTTGTTTCTTTCATTTACTCAACCCCAGAAATTTCACTCTAAATTAAAAGTAGCAGTAAAAAGTGAGGATATGAGCGGTTATATGTTATTTATTTCAAGTGCTGGATGTCATGTATACATTTTTATGCATTATTTAAGCTCCTGTTCTCTTGTGCAAATAACTCGCAGCTTTCAAAAATAATCTGAGATTTAAAATATTTTAAGACTTATCCGACAGTTTAAGATATTAATTTATGTTCCTAATATGAAATGGCACAACCATGGTACTAAAAATATTCGTAGTTAAATGTAATATGTGTTTATAAAAGTATACTAAGACAGGTCGTTCACACATATCACTCATTAGCTTCAACACAAGCTTACGCGTATGGTCTCGATTTATAGCAGTCGCATAGTTTGTATATCACTCACTTAAAATGGTTTAGAAACAGTTTGTTTAAATTTAAGCAAATCTTTTGCTACTTTTACATAAAATCAATACCACAAAAAAAAATGTTGACTGAGCTGACCTTCATCTTATCTATCAGACTTACGAAGTATGTAACTGATTTTTACATTTTACTGTCTACATCACCCTGGTGCATTTCAACAAAATACTAATCAAAGTATAGTTTCAAAGTCGTTTCTTTTTAGGGTCTCTATAAAATTTACCATACACTGAGAAGAAAACGGAAATCATCATGTCTTGTTCTATAGTACTATTCCAACTGCCAAAAGTAATTTCCATCTTATAACTCACTTTTTACAAAATTTTTACAATGCTAAAAATCCGAAGTTGTTGTTTTAACCAATCTGATTTGTCTGACAATGGTCAGCACATCTGGTTCATCTTGACAAGGAATCAAATGCGTCTATCGTTGGCAATAGCCTTGAGCTTCATGTTGGTAACATGCCTGACGTAGCTCAGTTTCGCCCCCTAATTTTGAGAAACACCCCCCCGGGGGATAGGTCCGAAGGTCTCCCACTCCTCTTCCCCTTCCAAACAACCTCTCGACAGGACTTACGGCTCCATGCCGGAGAGACACCACACATTTAAAAATATCCATGCCTTCTCCGGGATTCGAGCCCGGACCGTTCGATACGGAAGTCAGCATCGTTAACCACTATTCCGGTTGGGTAGGCTGTTCTGAAGTCAAATACGTTAAACATGTTTACAAGTAAAACTCTAAACAAGTGCCAAAGAACTGTTACATGCATGAAAATTGAATACTTTGAGGTTCTCGGAGCATGATGCGTTGAAGGTTTTTATTCGAGTCAATAAGAAAACACATTTAAAGAAATAAGATATTCGATGTGATTCTCAAAATATTCTGTCTTTGCTAAACAGATTTTTAGCTGAGACTCTTTACTGTAGTCAGATAAAGTGTCACAAACTTGTCCAATTTGATATTACTTCCAGAAAGTTTATGTTCTTCAAATAAAATTTATAATATTATTCGAAATGCATTTTGCTAGCATTCGAAAAGTATCAATGAAATTAAAATCTGATTCAACTTTGTCAAGAGGAGATAGATCAGACTTCAATTGAAGCCCATTTCCTGGGAAAACCATTGTGTTTCTGTACAGTCAAAATCAGCTGATCAACCCTTTTCATTTATTTTATTATTACTGTTTACCTGAAAATTTTGAATGCCTCTCTTACACAGCCTTTTATATTCAATAGTACGAAAAAAATAATGAAATTACTACAAAAAATAAAAATTTTAAATGAAATACTTTCGTGTTTCCAAAGTATAGTGCTAAAATATACAATTTACTAATAAAAAAATTCAAATTTAAGCGAAATAATTTACAAAATCTAGAATTTTTCAAACTCAAGTCTCATATTAATAAAAATCACTATTAACCAATAACTAATATTTTATTAGAGCAAGATTTAAAATGTTATTTGTCTGACGTAAGGAGTACCATAAAAGAAAGATTATCAAAATGGAAAGGCAGAGACGCCTACGGTTGCCTGTTTGGGGCTATTGGTGATACTGAATGGCAGTTGCAAGTCTTACATGTCCCAAAAGGTAAATTCATAGTTAAGATTTTTCATAATAAAAATTGGAAGGCATTTAATACAAGCAAAAAAAAAACATAAAATAAAGGAAGGATAAATATTAGCAAAAAGTAAATTTTTCATCAGATTTTAATTTCATTGATACTTTTCGAATGCTACCAAAATGCATTTTGAACATAGTTAAGCCCTCAATTAATAAAACTAAATCAAGAATAAATACTGTAATTACTTAATTATATAATTACACTATAAACTCCTTTAAATACATCATTCTTTATCCTTCAATTTAGGTGATCGTACAGAAACAAAAATTATTGCTTTAAAAGAATTCATAGAGTGTCAGCGTTTTTTAACTATGAACGAACTTATGAACTATAAATCTTAGCTATGAATTTACCTTTCGGAAGGTTTAAGACCTGGAACGGCCATTCAGTACCGCCAATAGCGCCAAAGAGTAACTTTAGGCGTCTCTACATCACCCATTTTAAGTTTATTCTTTTATGGCAATTCTTACGACAGATATGTTACTTTATTCATTCTTGTTTAAATAAAATATTAGTTCTCGATTAGTAATTATTTTAATAATATAAGACGTGAGTTTAAAATCTCGAAATTTTGTAAATTATTTCGTTTAAACTATAAATTTTGTATTAGTAAATTGCATATTTTAGTAATATTGCATATTTTAGTTATTTATCTTAACTTCGGAGTGCCGAATGTATTTCATATAAAATTTGCATTTTTTACAGCAATTTTGCCATTTATTTTTATTTTTTGGATTACTGAATATGAAAGGAAAACCGTCTGTGTAGAAGAGGCATTCAAAAGTTTTAAACGGGCGATAGCAATAGAATAATTTAAAGTGGTCCATTAGCTAATTTTGAATGAATGGAAACACATTTGTTTCCCCGGAAAGTTTCAGTCGGGTTCTGATCTACCTCCTCTTCGCAAAAGTTGTATCAGATTTGAATTGTATTCCTTTTCCGTTTTTTAAGTATTTCTATTTTTTTCAAAACTTATTCTAATTTAAACTTACATTTTTCATTTAAAAAAACAAATTTTTAATTACATATTTCAAAATAGTACTAATTTTAAATTTATTTATTTTCTTTAAAGACTTTGAATGCTTTGGTTTAAAGTTATTTAATATTTTTTCTGTAATTTATATATATATATATACATATATACATATATATGTAATATTAGCACACTTTTGGAAGCACTGATGTAGGAACACTACGACATAGATGCGTAGAAATACTAATGGCGTAGATACTTGATGCTTAGAGCGTCCATCCATTTTAAAGAAAAAATAGTCGAGCCGAATTATATTCCATATTTATTTAAATTCACAATGGTGGCCAAAATTCACTTGGCACTCTACTCGTGCCTACTAAAGAACATTTACAATTTTGATACTCTGGCTATAAAAGCGTGATTGCAGCAGCGTCTGAACAGCATGGAAGAGTAAGTTAGAAGAGAGAGTGTCGCAATAGTAATGCAAAGGAAGAAGGAAGAGAGGCAAAGTTTCAGTTTTAAGTTTTGGTTTACAATTTGGTGATTGGTCACGAGGAATTTGCATTAAGCGTTACGTAAGATCGCATGATTAATTTGAATGACGCAGTTTAGACTTTCAGCACTATTTTTAGGACAGAGAGAGATGAAGTCCCAAACGAAATAAAAATATAAAAGGGTATAGTGAATTAAATTTAGAAGTTTGCTTTTATATTTTGTATCTTACATATATCTATGCAATAGATATATGTAATGAAAGCACAAATTTTTGAAGCACTATGCGCAGAAATGCTAATTGCATAGATACTTGAAACTTAGAGCGTCCATCATGTTGAAGAATAAGCAATCGAGACGGATTAAATTCCTTTTATTTTTAAATTCCCATTTTGTGGCCACAATTCATTTGGCACTCCACTCGTGCCTATTAAAGAGCATTTTACAATTTTGACATTATTCCCATAGAAGCGAAAGTAGCAGCACACACATAATTGCGGAAAGACGTCTAGCCAAAAGGAAAGCACAAGCAAAAATGACGTATCAGTTCATAGATAAAAAGGAAGGTAGTCAAAAGTTTCAGTTTTTTAGTTTTGGTTTACAATTCGATGATTGATCAAGAGGCATAGAATATGTAAAAGATTAAATTAGCAGCGTAAATTAATTTCCCTTCTCTATTCTAAAAATAGCAACCTCTATTTGCACTGCGTCATTTCGAGAAAAATCTATACGTAATTTGGTGATGTAAATTGAACTAAAACAGGCAATAATAATTTTAGAGCAATATTAACTATCCAATCAAAATGCTTTGAGAACCAAAACTAACTCAGTCTGACCCGAGATTTCATCCTGAACATTACGCACTTGCTTTCTATGCTTTGGCTTGGCCGCGCTGAAGTCTGTCTGCTCTTTCTTTCTTATAGCAAATTTATCTAAAATGTAAAATCGCTCGGAATAGGCACAATTAATATGCCGACTTGTGTGTAACCGTAACATGTTACTGAAAATAAAACTGAAGATTTAATCTGCATTTGCCTCCAATTTCCTAGTCATTATGGATCAGCACTTCTACGCCATCCAAATTCCTGCTCATGAAAATACTACAATTGGCCTCTTCAGGTACTTCTGACTTTGGTTTTATTACATATATATATAGAGAGAGAATTATTGTATAGAATTATTGTATAGAATATATTGTATAGAAGAATTTGATAGTGTGCAAATTAGCGGCTGCCCCACATGAAGTACAAAATCAAATTGTATCGGAAAACCATAGAAAATGTCACGAAACAAATTACAAAAGCAGAACTAGAAAGAAAAACTGGAAAAAAGCTAAGAAAATCCAAAAAGTTATTACTATTTTAAATTCGGCAATATTTATTAAACTAACACATCGTGATCTACTTATATCCTACTGAAGAGTCCGGAAAGCAATATCAGTTTGTCAAATGTTAGGCACGAGTGAAATAAGAACAGAACTGAACTAATTGGATAAAATTGCAAAGTGCAACAAAGAACACGTGTACAGAGAGCACGTGTACATAAAGTTATTTGCTATGCTTCAGAAACTTTAATTTATTTGGAATTTTTATAAGTATTTTACAGTAAAATACTAAAAGCAATTTAAGTCAAATTATGTGAGTGACATCTAATTCTCTCATTTGATGTTACTTTAATCTTGTTGCTTAAGTTGAAAAGGAAATAGGTTTATTGCTTTTCTTACATTTCTTCATTTTTTTTTAATTCATTTTCATGTCATTCTAATTGCAGTTTGGGCCCACCAGCGGCCGAGCGGTAACGTCGCTGAACACCTGGTAGTTCGGTCCGAGGTTCGAATCCCGCGAACGGGCTGGCTGCGTGGGTGTTTTCGTGGTTTTCCCCATGTGTAAGGTGTATACGAGCCAGTTTCCCTTAGAAAGCCCTCCACGAAGGCATCCCTCATCTTAGGCAGATAGCCCTCGAGGCTTTGCTATATTCACACACACACACACACACACTAATTGCAGTTTCTCTGCATAATTTCATTCTTTCGTAATGAGAAAAATGACTAAATTAAATATTGTCATATTTTTTCACACTTATTCTGTCATATTTTATTTTTATTTCAATACAAATTTCTATCAGTTTCATTTGTATAGTTTTCCTTGTCCAATTTCTATTTATTACCCGGTCATTTTTATTAATATCTTACTTCGGCAGCTTTATATGCGTTAAAAAGGAGATTAATTAAAGTGTTAATTTAAAACTCACTTCGATTAGTATGGTACAAGAGATTGACTTTTGATTCCTCCTAAAATGAATAATTTTAGAGATTCTTGTAATACTGAGTACAAAGATTTTTACTTTAAACATAATCTTTCATAAAAAGCTAATTTTTCAACGCAAGATATGTTTCACAGAGAGTTTTCATGAAAAATTATTTTCTCAACTAATGGACGAAGCAATTAAAATAATTTATTTTCGTGAGGATAATATTTAATTAGTATAATAGATAATTTCGTGAAGATAACTTCATATTTGCATTGAGAAATAATTTAAAGAATGCTAAAATATACTTAACGTTAATTTTCTTCGGTATACAATCTTTCAAGATTTCTAGTTTTATGAAGTTTTGCATTTAATTTGAAAAGTGAAAACTTCATATTCTTTCTCTAATTTATCTTCCAAGATAAATTATCTTTCGCTCTGTATTTTGAGTTATAGATGAGAGTTCTAAGCTTACTTTTTCTATTTGTATAGAATACTAAGCTTAAATTTCTCGATAAATACGATTGACATTTTTTTTCAAATAATTTGTTTCTCCTTTCTTCTTATTTTTATGTTTTCTAAATAAAAGTGACTTCTTAAGAATTTGCTTTAACATTTAGACTTAAGCAATAAATCGTAATTTTCGTCGATTTCTTAAGGATTATCTTTACTTTCCGCTTGAAAACTCTTATTTCTTAAATTAACTTTGCTTTGTAGGAGAAAATATTTTCCTACCTGTGTTATTGATTCAGATAATTTGTATTATCGAAAACATATTTTAAACATCTGCATAACACTTATTTTTCTTGTACGAGCAAGGTTATTTTTCAGCGCTAAATATTTCACGCAATTTATCATACAAAATTAAAGAGTTTCATATTCAATTAAGAAACTGACACCAACTTAATTTCTTCTAAGTAAAATTGCGTGTTCAGTCTAGTAAAAGATCGGGGTTTAAATTTTCTCAGAATTTATTTTTCGTATGATATATCCTTCAGAGAGATAACTTTTTCTTTTCAAAGCACTTTCTTAAATGCATTCAGAGTTTTATTTTTCGGTTGAACAGCTTTTTTAATTCTCCACCGTGCTTTGGATTTTAGAAATGGAGGATTTCTCGAACTAGAGATTTTCTTTTCGGGTAAATAATTTCGCTTTTAAAGCGAATTATTTAAAATTTTCTTTTGGAGTGGATTCTTATAAGTATTATTTCTTTTGCCTGAAGGTGAACTTGAAACCCAAATTTGAAGGAGAAATAAAATGTGAATGCATAGTAATGCAATGTATGTCATTCGTTAATGAATACGTTTATTAATTTTGACATCATATACTATTTTTTTTAATTTCTAGTACCTAAACTATTTAATGAAAGAATTGTTTGAATACGTACGTTTACATTGTAGACTCTCATCCTCTTAGGTAGCATCCCTTAAGACAAGACACTTGTGAAGACGTAAGCGAATTACCTCTATGTCTAGATAAATAGCAGAACGTAAGAAGGGTGTAAAAATCTCTTTTATTCGGAACTCATATAGCTGAACAGAAGGTAAATAAATGAACGGAATCAAATAAATTCCTGTGCCTACAAAACCAGCCATCATTTATGGCGTAATTCAAAAAATTATTTTATTAAATTTTAAAGTAAATCTAACTCGTACAATAGCCAAAAGCTACACAGAAATAATTAGCGCAAGTTGCCTCAAGCCTATACCTATGTAACAAGAACTATTGCCAAGAACAACGCAATGCCGAAGATAAACTGCTATCGTAGACATCTAAGTAGTAACGTGGCCTTCAGCATGCGGAACACGCTCTATCTAAACAGTATAAAACCTCCCTTTAAATAGGATCTCCTTCTGCCTAATTTAAATATGCGTGAGCTAAACTTAGCATTCTGGCAGGAAAACGGAGAGGGAAAAATGACAGTAAAGATGCGTAATAAAATAACTGGTTTACAGAAAATAAATAAATATTTTACAACATATATACGTTACTCTTATCATGACAAGAATTTACTTTATTATGTGCAGATGAAGCTGCTATTTAATTAACAGAAAATTTAGAGGTTAAAAGAACTCACGCAATAAATAAAAATTTCATAAAGATAAGAAGTAACATAAGCAAGGGTTCCTTACATTAGAAAGCGAAAAAAATAACTATGTTGTTTGAAAGTGCTATCGCATTAAAAATAATAGTTCTTCTTACAGAAATTTATTACCTTTGATTCATTTAATGTATTACTGTCGCAGACAAGCACTTTCCTTTTGTCACATTACAAAAGAATTGAGTAAATTGATTTTACGAAGGATTCTTTGATTTATAAAGTTTAGGCGAAGTACTAAGGGTAAACGATAGTATTATTTCATTTTTTCATTCTTCAGAGCTTACCATCAAAAAATCCACGATGTAAAAAGATTTCAAATGAAGATCACTCATAATTTTAAAAGAAACGGTCGTATAAACATATTTGTAATACGAATGCGTAAATGCATTGTAAAGTTTACACGTAAATTAGGCGCTAATTATTTCTGTGTAGCTTTTGGCTAATGTACGAGTTAGATTTAGTTTAAATTTCAATCCCTTATTTTTTGAGTTACGCCATAAATGACGGCTGTTTTTGTAGGCACGAGAAGTTATTTGGTTCAGTTCAGTTATTTGCCTTCCGTTCAGCTACACGAGTTCCGAATAAGAGAGCTTTTTACACCCTTCTTACGTTCTGTTATTTATCAAGACATAGAGGTAATTCGCTTACGTCTTCAAAAGCGTCTTGTCTTAAGGGATGCTACCTAAGAGAATGAGACTCTACAATATAAACGTACGTATTCAAACAATTCTTTCATTAAGTAGTTTCGGTACTAGAAATTTAAAAAAGTAGTATATGATGTCAAAATTAATAAACGTCTTCATTAACCAATGACATACAATTCATTACTACGCATTCACATTTTATTTTGCTATATAGCTATACAGAATGTTTTGAAACTGCATAAACTTTAAGAGGTGACAGAACTCACCAAAACAAATGCTTTAATAACAGTTGCATTTTAAAAATTGTAGCATACGTTTTTCATGGCCGGATGTTAAGGCACCCGTATAAAATTAAAAGTGATTAGTTCAGAAATTATATTATCGAAATTAAATGACACTTTCAACAGCACTTCAACCCGAAATTTATTATTTTATTAAAAGGCAAATGCATTTTACACGCTTTGGAAGGAAAATACCCATTGTAAGTATACTACAACTAGAATATTCCCAAAAGAGATATTTCAGTTACCTAAATTTTACTGCATGTGTTACAAAACAATGAAGCAAAGAGAAACAACAATACATCTACTATTCATTGTATTATTCGAAAATCAGCATTTCATTTCAGTATGAATAGCGTCATTAAAAGCATAATTCTCGTTTGAGTGGATTCAAATACTTCTGAAATAATTACTTGTATTTTAAATTTCGTAGTGATATTTTTGAATGATTATAATTTATAGAGATTTATTCCATGCAAACAAGGTTTCTTGAAGTTCGACGTATATTTTATAGGTGTAAAAGCAAAACGTATTACTAAACATGAATTTTAATTTCATACTGGAAAGCTGTTAGTAGCTTGTTTGAATAGAGAGGAACAAATTATTATTAGATTTCACCCATTTACTTATTCTAAATACATATATTTTTAATACAAACAAAACAGGTGTATACTTTATATTTTTGAAGATATTTTAAATACATTATAATTTTTCCTTATTTGATTACAAATTTATTATAAAATTTCTTATACCCTTTGAAAATACAAAAATGCATTGGTAACTTTCATACTTTTTGCTTCACAGAATTAATTATGAATGCTAGCATTAACTTCTTATTCAGTAGTA